TGATAGATGAATCGTGCTAAGGCCACCCTAATTGTGCCGCTCTCTGGTGCTGCGGCGTGAACACTGTTCCTCGGCAAGAGCAAGCACGGCGGTCGGACGCGATCCTCGCCGCGGGCGTCTATCAATGAATCTGACTGACGCGTGAACGCGGGTACAAACTCGTTGACTCTGAGGAGGCCTCATTTCAACTCCTGACTATCATTTTGTTGGTCTGACTGTCAAGCGTTTCATGTGGTAGACGCTAAGAATCAGCTTTACATAAAATAATTCGGTCAGCTTCCGCTACTTGTGCAAGGCTGGGGCCATAAGGTAGCTTGAGATCACGTAGCTTTTTCCAGTTTTTTAGTTACGTCGTCTACTCAGTTTTCTCGGTTTGCTTTGAAGTTAATACCGCATCAACTGTATCCTCATTTTGATTATAGTAGTTAACTAGGATTAAATGGACATAACATTGAACAGACTTCTATTAGTGCTACGGTTTTATTTAAAACAGCAGTTATCTCGGGTGCAACTAGCACGTTGAGGATTATTATGAATCTACCGTAATTAGCATCACACTAAGAGCGTCTAATTAGCGTAGTTTGACTTAGCCTACCCATAGCGTCACGAAATATGTTGGCGTTAATAAGCATGACCTCTCTAATTGAGTTTGTTTGCATGGCATAGTTAGTGCATTAATTAGCATATTTAGTTAGCACAGTTCTAGCTGTATATGGCTGCATTAGCATGTTCTTATAAAGTTGTGGCGTAATTACCTTGGTCTTAGAATCATATGGCTTAATTAGCTTGGTCACTGCATGTTCTGACATGACTAGCCAAGTATAACACCCATGCAAATAGCTAATTAGCTGGCCGCACGTGCTCAGGGAGCTAGCAGACGACAGAGAGGGCACGCTCTGGCCGAGCAACGCGCTAGAATATACAGGCTGTCCTTAATGATTATACACGTGGTCTCTGGTTTATTAGTGGTCAAGGTGGTGTAATGCATTCGGTCGAATGCAACCTCAGAGGCCCCAGTACTGATTATTTTAAAGGATACTTAGGGTAGACAATAAAGCTTCAAAATTAATTTTAACAGATTGCGCCTTTTAAGTGTATCATCAGAAAAAGCTTCGGAAACTTTTATTGTACGGGTGCATTTTTGCACTCAGTGACACGACAAAGAAATGAAAAATGCCTCTGGTTTGAAATCACCGCCCAAATTTGTCGAGAAGTACTTTCGTTTGGGCCAGCTGCTTAATAGTACTCATTTTGAAAGGGCAGCGTAAATACACTGTCCTTCTATTTCGTGTGTATTTGCGCTGCCCTTTCAAAATGAGCACAACTTTGTCGACCATCCTTGACGCGATGCCGCATTCTACCGTAACCGATGGAACGCAGCCTGCTGATGGGTGAATTTGACATTTTCGTACTGTTGGATCGTTGAAAAAAGGGCGTCACTGGAGCTCGTAAAGACCCTGAGTTTTTCCAAGCAAGGGTCATCCTGCATAGCACCATTGGTTGTTTTTTGTTGCATTATTGTTTTAATGCATGTTAGTGAGCAGGTTGATCGCAAAGCCTTCAGAGAAGACGAACTGTCCAGCTGACTTGAAGCCAAATCACGAGTGCTTGAACGCAACGCGTTCTTAATTTCTGGTGTAGCAGCGCTGAACACCTTTCCAGCCCCCTATCTCACCCCCAGCCCCGAGTGGCCTGAGATGATCTTGTGACGTACCCCCTTAATGGTTCCTGGTCACCTCGCATCTATTCAGCCGCACACCTACGAGCCCTGTAGCATCTATGATAAATTTAGCAGAGCTTCAATCTTTGCTGCACGCATCAATAAGTTCGGAAGAAGATGAAAGCTGGAACAGGCAAAAAAAAAAAAATCGCGAGAACGGAGTGTCATCATTGGAGCTGACGTTTAGCCGAACGGACCCGTCTTTTTCACAGTTGCAAGTGGCAGCCTTGAAGAAGACAAATTTGTTTGTTCAACCATCAGCTCCAGCGACGCCCCGTGTTCACGCTTTTTTCGCCTCTGCGTCCACGAAGGTGCTCACACGGCAAAACTATACTATTGCTTAAAAGAAGACGCATGCACAGGAATGTACCAGACGTAATACGATGCGCTACTTACGAATCATGTATTCTTATAGGAGACAACAGGTGCCTAATATCAGCAAAGTTCAAGCCGTAAATGTGAGTAACCTTGTTATATATTGTGGGAACAGTGCATATAGACGAAGCTTAATCTTTCGCTTTTTCATAAGCCGTTACACAGTAAATTATGTTCAAGTAAGTGAGGCTATGAGGAGGAGACAGGTGATAAATGCGTCAGAATCCAGCATGCAGTACGCAACGACAATTTAAATTGTTTCATGTGCACACTACACACTGAGCGCACACTACGCTTACTCAAACCACGCATATTATTCCCTAAAAATAAACGAGCTGTAAGTAGCTCACTGTCTTGTAGGTGCCACCTGCGTCCGCTTCGTCTTTTGCTCATTATTTCTGAGCAATTCTGAACCATATCGCCTGAATGGCACTTTGGCTCCCACAGGTTGCCATTACAACCAATGTGCGTCGGGGGTAGCTAATAATTAGGAGCAGGCACGTAAAATATCTTTCCGCGTGTCCTGGTACGTGATTGGGGCTCCATGGCAGAACAAAACCAAGTGAAACAAAAAAATTAACAGCTAAAACAAACTGCTAAGGTAAATTACTTCATGTTCGCACGTACTTGCCTTCAACGCATGTTTGTCACCTTATTTGTGGAGGCATAAAGAACGCTGAGAACGCAACAGTCGGTTATGCTGGTTTCGAAAGGCCTGCGGTTAGAGATCAACTTGTAGAACCGAGCAGGATGACACGCACACCTATAGCTTTGCGGTGATGGGAAGCCGCGACTGGATCACGTAACCCGATTAAATCTAGGCAACACGTCAGCAGAAACGAGCCGTGTTGCGTGCTAAGCGTTCCACCATTGACGTTAATAGAGTTAGCGAAAACTTCCAGTCGTGGAAAGAGGGGGCCATCGACCCCTCTAAACTATAGGAGAGTCCTGTTCCGAGGATCGGCCCGCTGGAATCTGAGGTACTTGTAGATGACTTGAGGTACGGTCCTTCTGCTGCTAATCTAATATAGCTAATAGCTTGTATCCGTGCGCGTGACTTAAGGTTGTCAAGTTGTTCCTGAGAAATTCGGGCACATTCCGACTCAAGTGATCTTGTTAGATCTATTGTGACTTTTTTCCGCCTGTAGCTCTCCATTTCGAATCTGAAGAAACCACCTCTTGAGAAAACAAAACCTACAGAAAAATTGGCTGGTCTTATTCTCAGACACCACGTTCCAGGCGATAAAAAATGCGTGTGTTCAAGCTCCCCGGCTAAGCCGGTTGAGCTTAAAGAAAAAGAAAAAAAAGAAAAAAAAGGGGGGCAGGGGAAGCCAGTGGCTGACGCTGAAAAGAGGGCATTGGCAATACAAGCACGAATCGCGCTACAACATTCTCGCACAGGAAAATGTTTGTGCAGTGCTAAAGGAAGATGCAAAAGATCTAGATAGGGCCCCTGGATTGGTTTATATATATATATATATATATTGTCACGTGCGTCCCGCGAAAAAGACGAAGGCGACAGCGCATACGCGCATCTGCACGCTTTTATGCAGAATGCAACAACGACAAAGATGAGGAACTCTCTCTCACGCGGTTAACAAAAAGACCGACCCGCTGCTGTTTTCTCAGCGTCTTCTAGTACGACCTCTCTCTTGACGTCGGGACAATATATATATATATATATATATATATATATATATATATATATATATATATATATATATATATACTACCATCATGACACCACTATGTTGTAGTAGTCACATGGCGGAAAAATCGAGGAGTGAAGTAATATCAATATATCGCACCACGCTTTTTTTTAGGATACTCTGGCACCGAGGCAAATACATTCCAGCAGCGTCTCGAGGACATTTAAGCAAAATGTGTTACATTGGCCTCATCGCAGTGATTGAGTTGTAGTACCAGTACGGGAAGAGACGGCGCGCTATCGGCCCAGTTCGAGTTACACCACGGGAGCGCGTGGCCAACGCGCTATGAGGCTGTACAGTGGCGCCTATCGGGACAGGTTCTTGTGTTATTTGGCTAGGGATTGTCTTGCTTTCGCCCTCGCCCTCGTATTGCCTTGTGGGGATATCAGCTTCGAAAGTATAAATTAGAGAGTGTAAGCAAGCAATAGGCGCAGTTTATTCCAATAACTCGCACATATGTCATGATAAGCGGCACGGCACAATGCTGCTGTGGGCTCGGTCACGCATCCGCGTGATGTAACTCGTACAGCGTGCGATAGCACATGATACCATGCGAAGACTATCGATACTTTTCATTCCCTGTGTGCCAACCAGCAGTGTCGACTAGCATCAGCTCGTGCTAATCAAGACTTGTTGGAAAGTACGGAAATCCCTAATTTTTCTTGATCGCAGCAGAACGTCAGCTGCCGCTGAAGAATAAAGACGGAGCCCATTTTCCCGCAGTCACTAACTGACAGGATAAGGGTCTTTACGAAAAGTGAGCTAGTCTTTTCGTATCTGTTACGGGGGTGTCACGCTAAGCTTTGTGTGTGCATTCATCGCCTCAGTGCATTCGTAATACGCGATCTTCTTGGGTACTTAAATTGAGGGACGTAAGTAGCGTGCGTACGCAATGAACTTTATCTTGCGTATCCTATTTCTAAAATGCCAACTCATACGCCTCATCACTCTCTTTTTTTTTCTGCCGAATGCAGTTTCCCCGAACGCATGACGGCGTCAAACAGATGATTTGTTGATTTCCGGTGAACTTGCACAGAGCTTTTGTATGCAGTTTAGCTATCGCACTGCTTGTCCTCACTGTGATTTTTCCTGATCAATTTTTTTTACGATAGGTCACAAAAGTATTGTGCTCTGTTCAAACAGCAAATGATTGTACACCAAAATTGACTCACGTTGCGATGTATCCTTCGCTGCAGGCCATGCACGTTGGCAACAGCCGCAAGAGCCCGCTGGCCTGGATCCTGCGTGCGTCGCTGTTGCTCCTGCTGTTGGTGTCGGGCCACCAGGGCGCCTACCTGGCCGCCAAGGAGCAACCTGGCGACGAGGAAGGCCGCGCCGCCGCCGCTGCCGACCTGGGAGAGTTTGCCGGACTGGCAGCGCTGCTGCGCGAGTACCTGGCCGGGAGGATGCAGGAGCCGCCCAGGACGCACTTCTCAGACTCTGCCGCGTCACAGATCAGCGTCGCCAAGAGAGGAGGTGCGCTCCTATTGCCCGCCTAGTCCACAGAGCTATGTCACAATATGAGACCAACGTGTGTAGTACATTATCGTCCTCTATGAAAGGGAACACGCGAGTCCGTGGCCTGCGCTCTGCCATGAATACCTACAGCACCATCAACCGGCATCCAAGGAAAACATGCCCCCGTTTGGCGTCATCTGTTGGTGAACAAGGTAACGAGTCATGACCAGTACACAGGTGCTGCTTGTGCAACTGCAATGCCTGCAGCTTACGTGTTCTGTGCTCACACGCCACGCTAGATTTCTTGACCGCATGTCACGTGCTGCAGCCATTGCCCGTTCTGCGAGCTGAGAAGGAGTGTAATCGAGCAGCGCCTATCTACCAGCCACGGCTCGTTACCTGGTATGCCAATGGATGACGCCAAAAATGGACGTGTTTCCCTAAGCGGTCAATTGATGATGCTGTAAACAGCCGCCGCTGAGCGTTAACCACGGGCTCGTGCATACTGTCATAAAATATGGCATAGTATACTAAGATCGTGAGTAGGCTTAGAGTGAACACGGGAGCACAATGAGCGTCACGTGACATTTCGTGCTGGTGTAGGTGGGCGTAACTGAAGCACTTGCCGTCGACACCCTACACCAGCACGAAGCCCTGCACATGCGCAAACTATTTGTGTCTCGCTTCACTTTATTGTAACCCACACCACGCTATCGGTGTGCACCTTCAACGAATATGCGAACAAATGTGCGTGCGATGGTAAATTAGTCTTGTCACCAATGCATTGCGCATGCGCTATGCTTTTTGTTAATGTAGATAGGCGTCGCTATAATGAAGGTGGAAGCGGGCTCTCTTGTTCACGCGAAGAATTATCCCAACTGTACAATCAGCTGGGTGCTACCATGTTTAATTACTTTCGTGACATCATGACAATGAAAAAATGGTTTGTTTGGTGTATATAGCACAGTATAGCAAGTGCGTGTAAAAGGGAAGTTGCTGTGAAGAGGAGTTACATGAAGGCAAAGATGAGGAAAAGAAAAAGCGCGAGGGTAATTCATAGCGTAGTCAGGTGTAGTAATATATAGAAATGGGGTGTGAGAAAGAAGTTAGGCCGAGGAAGAGAGCAAGAAAGAGGGAAAAGTTGGAAATATAGTATAGTGTAGCCATGTATATGATATTGGAGCAGGGAGTGGAAAAGGGCAGTGAGAAGGAGGAGGAGGAGAAAAAAGAAGGGGGCGAAGGTGGAGTCCAGCCTAGTGATGTTTAGTGCAGTACAGCACGAAGGCAGGAAGGCGAAGAAAGAGGTGAGATGAGAGGGTGATACTAAACGTTGTGTGATACGACATCACAAATGAAGGTTTCTTTTTCCGTCATGAAAGCCGTGAAGGCTGCACTATAGTGCCTAGAAGTATATTCTAGGCGCTATAGCTGCACGTTTAAAACTGAAGCGTTTGCCTACGCGCGAACGCGAGTGTCGCTGAAGGGTGGGCAGAGTATGCTACGCACGCCCTACAGCTCTTATTCTGAGCGTAAGGTCGTACATTTTTAAAGACGACAGTTCTCTTGGGAACCTTCGGCGCAAAAATTTTGGTCTGTCTACCTGTCTGTCTATCTGTACATTTGTGTGTTTGTCCACCTTTAACGGTAACCTAAACGGCCCCAAAGTGACCAAACATTACTCCAAACGGCCAACCCCAACCGCAGCGCCCACCAATATTGCTCAAGCTCTAGCATTCATACTTGTGCGTTTGTCAACTAAAAAGATTTACTTTATGTTCTGCGCGAGGAAATCGGTGAATAGTATTCTGGAGGCGTTGCGTTAGAGTGCCTCGAGCGTGCAGTGCAGGTGAACGAGCGCATCGAGGCACGTTAGATACACCCCGTTTTCCAGAATAACTGCCAGGTAGCGATCATGCCCAACGTATGACGTGACTTGATGCAATCGTCATCATCATGTAGTCATCATGTAATCATTTGGTGCAGAAATAGTTATTACATCTCCGAAACTGTCTTCAAGGCCAGGGATCGATCTCATTAGTGTTAAAATTTTAAAACGTGCCGAAGTGTAGTCTAGCATTATTCTGTCAAAGATATTCGAAGAAACCTTTGATGATATACTCTACCACCTGATTGGAAAACCATAATTGTGGTTACTGCACGTACATCTGGAAGCAAAAACATTGCCAGATCATACGTACAGTGGGAGTCGATGATATGCGAAGCACGAATGAGAAATGTTGATATGCCACTTTAAAATCAGCACAACGTTACGAGGTGGAGGTAAACGATGCCGTACATGACTTCCGTGTCATGATTATCATGTTTGGATGTGTCGTTTACCTTTGTCATCTATTCACGTCACGTGATACCAAATTTAGTATATGTGGAGCTAGCGAAACAATAGCGAGTACGCTATGAGCGTGGTACATGACACATGACACGCGTGTCGTGTTCTAACATGACACGCGCGTCAGGATGATTATGTTTGCACAAGTCATATATTTTGTCATCCATTGACGTCACGTAACACCAAATTTGGTATATCTGAAGCTAACAAAACGGCCGTGAGTGCATCATGAAGGGCCCAATATACTCCGATGTAGCGTTTTCGCGCGCGCACGCTGTGCATAGCGACGCTATGTTAGCAAAGGGTGAGCACCTTATAGTTTGAGGCCAGACGCGACCAGTGTCCGTCGGCGCGGCCCGACGGCAACCGGCGCGAAATGCGACATGCTGCATTGGGCGCCGATGTGTTACCCAGACAACACTGCGTCTCCCTGTTTTCGTGGCGGAGGAACGCCGGACGTGCTGAAACACGCATGCGTCAAAGCAACGCAGCCCGGCACACGCCTTCGAGTATATATCAGGTACGGCGCCTGGCGTGGAACGCCGGCGCAACGCGACGAAATGAACGCTGGTGAGCACGCGCACCGTGTCAGGTCGAAATGTATTGGCGCCTTGACTGTGGCGTGTAGTCGTGTTCTGACATGACCCGCATTTCATGATTATCATGCTTGCATCAGTCACATACCTTCGTCATCCATTGACGTCACGTAATACGAACTTTGGCATATATGAAGCTATAGCGAAACGGCCGCCAGCGCATGTTGAGTGTGGCATGTAGTCATATTCTCACATGACACGCATTTCATGATTATCATCTTTGCACCAGTCCCATACCTTCGTCATCCATTGACGTTACGTAATACGAAGTTTGGTGTAAGTGAAGCAAGCGGAACGACCACCAGCACATCATGAGCATGGCATGTAATCATGTTGTTAGATGACACGCATCTCATGATTATCATGTTTGCACCAATCACATATCTTGGTCACTCATTCACGTACCGTAATACCAAGTTTGGTGTATGTGACGCTAGCGAAACGGCCGCGAGCGCATTATGCGCTTGGCGTGTAGTCATGTTGTTACATGACACGCAAGTTATGATTTGCATGTTAGGGTCTGTCACTTGTGTTCGCCATGGAATCATGTGATAGCATACCAGTTTTGCATCATGTCATGTGAACGAAACTACCGCAAGAGCAGCAGCGTCATGAAAATAAATCATGACATTCATAAGATACATGTCATGACGTTCATGTTATGACTAGTCAAATATGGTCGTCCTGCAGTCATGTTATGCCATACCAAGTTTGGTATCGATACTGGTACCAAAACGGCAATGAGAGCTAAAAGTCTTAGGCGGGTAAATAGATAGACAGATTGCTTGATTGATTGCTTGATTGATTGATTGATTGATTGGTTGATTGATTGATAAATAGATAAATAGATAGATACGCTGATATTTGCCGATGTTTGCTAAAAAATACTTCATATATAAAGCTCTCCTTTCAATACATACCGCTTTCACAAACCAGCAATTAGTTGGAACCCATGCAGCACTATAAAATATTTAGATACGTTTTTGTGTGTGAAAAAGTGGCACATGATGCTCAGAATATTTTAGACGAGCAAGTAGAGTCGCGCGCGATATAAACTGTATCGCTCGAGCGTCGACCTGCCTAACGTCCCAAGGGCCTAGCGGCACGCTTCGTAACTGTGAAAAACAAGATGGCGCATTCTTCTTTTTCTCGTTGGCTGTTCCGTGCTACAATATTTGAACCTACAAATAACTATACGCCTCTTTTCTTTATTTTGAGCTTTCCATTCATTAGGATTGAGTGTTCGAGTGTTCTAATCCCCACAGGTGAATGCAAAATGCTGGGAAAGGTGTGTTAAAGCTGTTTCTTGGCACTGCTTCATTTAATCGGCCTCCTAAAGCGGAAGTGATCGATGCTTAAGAGACAGCGATAGGAGTCAGTGAAGCTTGCTTGGTACCATCCTCTTCACGAAAGAGTATTCTAGAACGTGGCGCTCTTTGTTGACGCTGGCGTAATGACCTTCATATTGCGCTTGACTGTACTCACATCTTGTTTTGTTCGTGTTTTGCGCGTTTTCACAAAAGTCAAACGGCAATGATCAAAAACCTATAAAGGAGGCCATTGGCTCGTCCACTTGGCGTGCCATATTTTCAGACGTATGTGGAATGGTTCAACTTAAGCGAAACACCTTGTATATAGCTCTGAGATGCACAGAAATTAACGCCACAGGTTCAAGATATAATTTTTCAAGGAAAGGATACCACTGATAGAATGGCTTAGATGCCACGCCCCTTGAAGCTTAAAGAAAGACACTCGGTGGCCTTGCAAGAGAACCCACGTTTGAAAAGATTGCCTTCTTTTCGGTCAATTTGCGCCGAGAGGATACCGAAGTGTGTTGTGCACATATTGAGCAAAAGAAGACCCACCAATGAAGAAACACCTTTTTTAATCTGCGAGGCAAGGACATCCGTTGAAACCTAAGTGTTTTCGTGTTATTGTCACGAACATCAATGCCGGTATACTTGCAATGTGCTGCACCTGGGCGAATCAAACTTGGCGGCTTTTTTTTTTTTTTTTTCGAGACAGTACATGAAAGGATCGAAGATGGCTTCACGCCGAGGCTAACGCTAAGCAAC